TCAAAAGATACGCTCTCTCTATAAAAAGAGATGTTACACCGAGTTTATTTGTTACGTTAAATTACCTGGAAAGCATGTCAGATAAGTGATGATAAGCCTTCTTAGATTATAACATATGAGTAAATGTTACTAACATACATATTATAGAAATTGTTAAGAAATTCCTACAATTCTGGTATGTCCTGGTATAATGTGTCATAATTCTGTTACCTTAAAATATTGCACACCACAGAAATAACCAGACCTCTTTGTCAATTCCACTACAATGAACTCTCATCAGATCTTTGACAATGGGTATTTTAATAGTCACTTACAGTTACTATTTTTACTCTTGCAAAAGTGTTCCTACAGAAGTACTTTCCTTCAAGGAGATTCAAGAAAAGGACTTTGACAAGTCCAGGTTTCTGATAACTTTATGATCATAAAACCGGGCTGGGTAAGAATTTCTAGAGCTAAAGAGAAAACGGGATTTAAGGGAAACAAGTACTAATTACATGGAACTGAATAAACTGAGAAGGAGGATTATAATTTTTATGAGTTTTTGTTTGAAATATTGCCTGTTCTGTTCTGTTTTTCCAGATTTAGAAAAAAATTTTTAAAAATATATTTATTTATTTTGAGAGAGCGCAAATCAAGGAGGAGCAGAGAGAGGAAGACAGAGAATCCGTTGCAGGGCTCAAAACTCAAACCATGAGATCAAGTCCTGAGCTGAAACCAAGAGCTGGCTGCTTAACCAAATGAGCCACTCAGGTGCCCTTGTTTTTCCAGATTTAAGGAAACATTTTTTCTCTTTTTTCTTAAGCTATCAACAACTTGGTAAGATATACCTTTGTGAACAAAGATGAAACAATTACTTTTTCTCCCTATCTGATACTTCCAGAATTTGGAAACTTATTGAATATGCTTATTTTCATGGCAATATAGTTAGTGTGTAAGTTCAGTAAGAATCCATTCTCCTGGGTCTCCAGAACACAACTGGAAACACTGGCTATATTACCAAGGTTTTTACTAGAATGTCATATTTGAGAAGGATGTGTGTAAGCTCAGACATGATCAGACAATTCTAAGGAACTAAGGCTGGTGTTATGAAGCCAATGAAGCACCTTGAAAAAACTGGCCTGATATCTTGCTTGAAGGGTTCCTAGCATGCTTACAGGTGAGTAAATGTTTTCTGGCAGGTGCAGGAACCTTATGATATTTTAGACACCTCAAGAAAAGAGGAATTCACCTAAACTATAGGTATTGCAGGTTAAGTCTGATGGCCTTGGCTTGATGGTTCTAGCTTCAAGAGGCCATTTTAAAAACTTCAATCTGAGATTCCTTATGAAAGTTCCAGCAAAGAGGATTAAAAGAGCCTATATGACGGTCAATCCCTATTCTTGCTGCACTTATGCAAGTAATCAGACCAAATTTATTGAAACTAAACTTAATCTGCAAACAAATTAGTCTTACTGCGTTTATCTCTGGTAGAAATGGGGTGGCTAGTAGAAACCACAGTATACACTTCTACTCCTGCTGTCTCTGAGGTTTTATCTTCTGCCTATAAGCTGGACTGGAGCCTCATTATTCTACTCTTCTTGGATAGCTGGCTATAACTCTCCAAACTAACATTTCCAGTTTTTCTCCTACACCTCTGACTTGGAATCATTGAGAGCTAAATTGCCCTTTTTTGAAGCCATTAAACCTAGGCTGGACAATTGGATATAAATTTCAGAGAATCATCACAACAGCTCACATATGGATAATCTTCATGCCGGCTGCTGTGTGGAGCACTCAGAAAGATCACCAAAGACATTCAAACTGCAACAGGAAAACCTATCAGTTTGCCGCTGTCTGCCCTCACTCTGTCTGAAGGTGCTTCAAGCTGAACATCTAGAAATCTTCTCAAATGGCTGCCTTCAGAACCGAAACTAGGATTACAATCTGCCAGTCATTAGCCACTATGTTTATTTCCACAGAAATGTATTTTACTTAAATACCTGATTTCCGGCACCACAGGCCTAACTTTGGGTGCCCACCTGCATCACTGCCTCCTGAAATGAGACACAACTATCTAACTGAACCCATCCATTATCAGGACTAAGAGCCTGGTTCAGTGATATGGAACAATCTACTAGCTTGAGTTCTGGACTGTGAAACTTCTTAGAAAAATTTCAAAGGTAGGACTAACAGGGAGTTGAATAGATGACCCCAAAATATGCCACTTTGGCATGTGGAATGTTTTGAGCTAAAGATAATCAATACTCAGAAGATTCAAGAAAAACTTTTACCTTTCTCTTAAATACTAAAAGAATTTAGATAGGGGGTCTAGCCCAGAAAGAGAGCTGTTACCAGAGTTAAGTTGTTAAGAATGACCTCCGTATGGGAGGGCAAACACATCTAATGACCCAACATCTGTTCTTCCTATTGTCTTGTGAATGCCCATCCCCCTCACCTTTTTAAACTGTACTGTTATTATTTTATTATTAAGTAATACACTTCTGTGACTGTCATGAAACCCAGGCAGGGTTAACAGTAATGAGTCCTAGAGGTAACTATACCCAACTATGGACTTTCTGGGTATAAGCACTATCTTCCCTCTCTACCTCAGCTGAAAACCCAGACTCATGAGGCCTTAATCCCAGCCTCCCTATTCTTGGAAGATGCCAAAGCCAACTATATAGCAGGTTTTTCAGAGAAGATGACTTTGTCTTCCCAGAAGACAAATGCTCTAGTTTGCTTTATGAGGCAGATAGTAACCCCCAAGCCCCAAACCCCAAACAAGTTGGGACCTGCGCAGACCTCACTGTGCCCTCTTCCCCTTTAAGGCCCTAGACCTCTATCCTATTCCTTAGCTCAGAATGGCACGTAAGCCTCAATTGCCTGACTTGTCCTTGGGTATCATATTTTTATGGAGTCCTGTGCGTACATAATTAAATTTTTCTCCTATTAATCTGTCTTATGTCAATTTAATTAATAGACCAAAAGAAAAAATTTTCCTAATACTAGTAATGAAGGCATCGGAGAGCAAAAGGAACATGCTTCTTTTTGCCAGATTAGACCTGACCTGTGGAAGGATTCCAGGTCAACTAGGGGAGGCAAAGACTTTTTCTATCACAGAAGTTGCAGCAAAACCTCATCAGTTCTAGAAACATAGCCACCACAAGCTTACATGCACTGAGGGGCTTCAGGGTTCCAGGCATTGGGTCAAGTGCTATTCAGTCAATTGTCACAACCATGCTAATAAAAGGGGAGCCAACACTACTTGATTTTATGGACAAATGAGGCAGTGAGTAACCTGGCAGGGCCAAGACAATGCTATCATGCCATGCATCTGTGTTGCCCCACAAGACAAAACCTGAGGCCCCACAAATTGCAAAGGAAGCATGGTGGTTGGCCTCCAAGGCCCCACGATGCCACCCCTCGAGGATGTGTATGCTGAGAAGTGAGTCCCTATGTCTGCCCTTGATTCTGGCCTGGGGCTGCTTTCACCCATGGAATGTGCAGGATATGATGGCATGTGACTTCAGGGCATTTTCCTTCCTGATCTGCTAGGGAGAAATGCAGGCTGCTCTGCTGGGGGTGGGCCACATGGAGGAGCACTGAGTTGCAAGACATTCACCCAGACACCCCAGGTGTCACCACACAACACCCTAGGGATCCTAGAAGAAGTGCTGCCCAGCTCAAGCCTATGCAATCACGAGATACAACAATGACTGCTGTTTGCTTGTTTAACCAGTCTAGTGTGTACTTGTTGTGCAGCAACAGATAACACAATAGGGAGATGACTCCTCTGGGGCAGGAGCTATCCACACCCTTCATGGCAGGTGTTACAGTCCTATGTGTCCCAAGTGGGCACTTCATGCAGATGACAGGACTCCAAGGCTAGCCATGGACAAGGCTACCTGCCTTCTTCTTCTTGGCTAAACAGGTGTTTTCTGGGCCCAGAACAAAGTCTGCAGGTATGCCTGAGACATGGACATGTTTCTGGTTTGCAACAAAGGGGATAGATACCATAATAAGGTTAAACACTAGGATTTGAAATAAGTGAACTGAAATAAGATGTATGTGAAAAACAAAAATTCCTGCTGAACATTACCACCCTGTCAGAACAACCAGGCCCTTAGAAGAAGTGCAGAGAAGTGCTAGGCCTATGGAGGGGAGCGGGTGTGGAGCAGGGAGCGGCAGGGCTGAGGGAAGGGCTTGTGGCTGGAACACAGGTGTGCACTCACACACAAACACTTCTGGACCAGAGGCATGGGTCAAGGCCTTTGGGCCTTGATCGATGCCATCAATAAAGAGAGGCCAATGCCAGCATCAGATTAGTGCCCCCCAAATCGGGAAACTCCTAAGTGTCTCCTAAGACCTCATAAGAGTTCATGTATCCTGGTGGCCAGCACCAGGCTTCTCCTCAGCCAGGCCAGTCAGAGAAGATCAGAAAAGGCCTGGGAGGAAACATCCTGACCTGACATAGGCTCCATCTCTAGTCCAATGCCATGTATGCAGGAAGGGCCAAGCCCATGTTTAATGATCCTTCACAGAGCAAGAGAAGATGGAGGGACATTCTCACAAGACTAGAATTGCTGTGAATAAGGGAATTCAACCCCAGCTCCAAGGCAGCAGCCTCAGAATCACCTCCTCATGGTCCCTCCTGTACTGTCATGAAGAATAATGTTCCCTCCAGATCCTTAAAAACCAGTCCATTCCAAACACAGATGATGATTACACAGTTTCTTGGCTAAAATCCCCCAGCTCAGTGTTTGAGAAATAACTTCACTAGCATCTCTTCCTTTTGAAAAATAACTTAGCATGTACACAGCTAAAACACATCACCATTCATCACCATCAGAGTGCCCACTGACAAGATGTGGGGTGTGTCCCTCCATATGCATCCCTCCTGGGCTCTCCCAGTCTCCCAGGGCCCAGCGTGCTACTATGAGGGCGGAGGGTGGGAGCACCTTTCCTGAAGGGCCCCTGAAGGCTGCTGAGCAAGGAGGGCTCTGAATTCTTATTCCACTCACCAGGTTTCCCCTCCATGCCACCCAGAATTGCTAGCCGTGCCGACATCAATCCGAGGCCCAGGTAGCTGTGGAAAGAAAATCCTAGGTGAGGGACTGGCCTGCCACAGGAAGCGCTCGGTGCCATCTTCAACTCCACCTCCAGTATGGTCAACCAGCCTGGATCCAAAATAAGTGGGAGAGGGAGGAAACCTGTGTTGAGGCAGCAGATTTTCTGCTCCTAGAAACCTCTCTTTGTGGAGTTCAGGCCATTTAGTTCAACAAATAAAGGCCTATTAATTGATAAGAGCTTGCTTAGGAGCTGTGGGCACCAGTGAACAACACAGATGCGCCTTGATTTTTATGGAGCACATGTGCTTTATGCCAATAATCTACTAAAGGTGCCACGTAGTAAATAGATGGCTGAGAAAATTCCTGCACAATCCATGGGCTCTTCCCACCTTTTGGAAACCTCCTCCAAAGCAGAGGAGAATAAGCACAAAAAAGAGAAATGTGATTTTACTGTAGGTGAATTGAAAAATGAAGCAGGGAGAAGGCAGGAGAAGGGAGGGATAGCAGGGAGGAAGAAGAGGAGGAGGAGGGAAAGCCTCCAGTGGGGCATCCAGCAGAAGGGTTTCTGGGGCCTGGCCTGTTTGTGACCGGGTGCTCTGGCCACTGCACAGGGCTGGCTGAGCCACACTCCTGGACAGGCAACCTTCCGCCCCCACTCCCAAAACAAACCTGTAGGAATAGAGCTTGTAGGTCTGATTAAACATCTGGAGTGACGTCAGGTAGCCAGGCGGGGAGGTCTGGAGGGTGTCCTGAGGAAGAATGTGAGGATCACTATCCTTCCCGCTGGTCTTTCATTTGAAAAGACCAGGGTATATGGAAACCAGTTTGACAATAAATTTCATATAAAAAAAATAATAAATACATATCCAAAAAAAAAAAAAAAGAAAAAGAAAAAGACCAGGGTATTCACAGATGTATTCAATTAAATTAGTTTTTTGTTAAGTCACATGTTATGAAAGAGTTTGGAACAAGCAAATGAAAAATAAAATGTCCAAAATGAAAAACTATGTTTTTCCTCCTTATAAGTAATATTTACCATTTTGACAAATATGGCCCAATCAAGACAATTATGAGTAAATTTAAATGTTCTTCCACTGAAAACTAAGAATAACAATAAAGTGGTTGGTGAGGAAGGCACTGTAGTTAACTATGGTCTTGACTGAGAGCATTTTTATCTCCTTTACAAGGTCTATCACACAGGGCTTGAGCTCTCTCAAGCTCTACTGGCCCCTTAATTAATAGCCCCTTTTCTGGCTGCCCTAGTGGGGAAGGGGAGCATCTTACATCCTATGGCCCAAAGGGTTCCAGGTAGCATCTAATTTATTATCCCATTGAAGACCAAATTTCCATTTTTTTCCCCGGGCAGAGTTAAAATTAAGTGAAGAAGCATTAACTGTGAATGACTCTGGCCTTCAGGACAGGAACTGACTACACAGGCCCAGAGGCTCCAGTTCTATGGGCCTCCCCTAAGGGGCTGCAACTCTTGGGGACAGGCAGCCTTGGGGGGGGGGTAGGGGCCACAGTGGGGTGACAGAGACCAGTTACCTCGACTCTTGGAAGGAAGGTGATCTGAGTGGACCCTCCACCCAAATCCAGCATGCCCACACTGCTCCTTCCTGGGGTTTTCAAACTGCCTGGAGCATAGTGAATAGAAACCAAAATAGCCCTGTCGCGTTAGTAATTAGACCAGAACAGCCAAAAAAGTAAAAAGAGTTTAGGAGCCAGGCCCCTCACTGAAAAGAAGAACAGAAAAACAGCTGTATTTAACAATCTCTATGGAAGGATGCACTACATGTTTAAGGGACATGAACGTGGCTCCACTGGCTGTGGCTTTAACAATATAGGATGACACTGATCTTCAGCAGAGAAGTGGGGCCTGCCCTTATCTACTGCTCACCCCTCAGAGACAGACTTCCATGATGTCCCTTCATGCCCAGAGGCATGCCTTCCCCTAGCTCAGCACTCCCAATCTGGCCCCTAACATGGCTCTCCACCCCAAGGGGCAAATCCTGCCACAAAGCTTCTTTCTTTTTCATATATGCATCACATGTGCTAGTCTTTGCCATAATTACAATAAAGAGACAAAAATCAACATGTACTGAGAATAATCTAAGAATAACAACAACTTGCCACCTCAATCCAAGAACTAATGTTTTTGTTCCCTGTTCTGTCTACAGCACAGGAATTCAATTCTAAGGTGATGAGCATACACCACATTTACTATGTGAAAGCATGACTGGTTTTATTCATGACTTCCCTAAGAAATGAGAGGACAGGGTCCCAGGCAGGTGTGGCTCCAGGACAAGAGGCTGGAACCATGCTGGTGAAAACCAAGCCTACAGAGAAGCTGCTTTTCCTAGCATTTTTATCTGCAAGCTCCATGCTTGCCCTGATGAGCCCCCAACCCATCCCAACACCCTACTTTGGGTAGCAACACTGGGGAACCCTAAGGGGTTAAAGACTAGAAATGAGGCTGCTGCTGTCAAGAATGGCATCTGTGGACTGTCAGCTTCTGGCGGGTGGGGAGGAATGTACCTGTTAGGAAGTTGACGGTGATCCACGCTGAAACGCCTATAAGAGAGGGTCACAGACAACATGTGAATAACCTGAGATGCTGTAAACAACACATGCACTCAAATGACCACTTTCAGATTCCAGGAGCTGGAAGTGAGCACTCATCACTCCTCAGTCTCCAGACCAACTACAGGAAGAGGCATCAGTCATCAAGTCACCAACAGCTTCTGGAAGACTGTTCTAGAAGACACCACACTAAAACAATAAATACTCTGTCAAATGTTGTATCTCTCCCTCCTATTCTTTATCATCAACTTCCACTTTTTGGAAGAGAACCAAATGTTGCTCTCCCCTCCCCTGGTCATATTTAAAATCAGGGGCTGGTGAGGAACCTGACCTTTTCTCTCTTAGCAATAACAATGTAACAGCAAACTTCTAAATAGGGCAGCAAGTGGGGATTCTCTCTAAATGTTCTTAAAACTGAAGAGGATTTGTTTTCAGAAACTTCATCTGTGCCAAGTTTGGAGCTGGTCAAGATGAGAACCCATCTCTAACACTGGCCCACAAAGATCCTCTGAGACAGTAGAACTGTGAATTGAGTGGGACTGCCATTTTTGTTTGCCTGTGTCTGACCAAGGAGAAAGTTCCCACTCGGAAGCCAACAGCAGCCCTGCATACAGCCTGTCTCGAGGGACAGAGAGCTTGGGAGACCCTACCTTCATCCGTTCCATTCATGATGGAAACACAGTCATCTCCCACAAGGAAAGGCGATGCCTTAAACACTTCTTTCACCTAAATGTAAAGAGACATGTCTTTATCCTTCAGAATCTAGACTCAAAGTTCCCAAATATGCTGTGTTTTCAGCAGGTGGTGACAAAACAGCAAAGGACGGCAGCTGTTGCTGTGAAGTAACAAAACTCTTGTTTTAAATTTCTCTAATCCTTGGCAAGTGGTATCCTCCTTAATCTACTCTCTGGGCTGGCAGAGGCTACCCTGAAGAGCCCTGTCTTCAAGCCACTTTGGGCTAGAATTGCTCAGGGGCATCCTGAGCCTACTGGGCCCCCAAACACTGCCCAGCTTTAGGACTAGAGATGACGGACAAGAAACCCCTCAAGGCAGAGTTTAGCCTGGGACTCAGGAGACAGTCCCACAGAGGGAAGGTGAAGGCAGAGGAGCAGCTGCATTTGGGTGTATTTCCTTCTCCTTTTTTTTTTTTTTTTTTTTTTTTTTTTTTTTTTTTTTTTACCAAGTATTGACACACAGAAACTTCAGTACTCTGCACATTCCAACTGCACTTGTGGCCCACCATCCGACTTGAGCATGCAAGGTAATTTTTATAAGGGACTTTGAAAAATGTGCAAAAATTCATCATTTAGCAGTTGCATAGTTTAGAAACAGTACAGAGGATGAGGGGACCATATTGTTGAGAGCAGTTTCCCTAATGGGCCTGACAATAAGAACCATTCAGGCACCTGTTAGAGATAGGGTCCAGAGCCCCTTTACAGGGCTGCGGCTGGTTCTGGGGACAATCCTGGCCATTTGAGAAACGAACAGGGCCGGAGAAGGCTAAAGGCCTCCTCAGCAGTTACATCTGTGGATCAGACCAAGAGGGAAACTAGCAATTTCCATGAGAACAAGCAGGCTGGAGATGAAATGTCAGGAACTTGGCTTCCACAGCCCTCTACAAGGAACAAGTCTGCATGGAAGAAAGCCCTTCAAAAGGCTTCAATGTATTTTTAAAACAAAGTTGCTGTTATCACACAACAGATTCATTCTAGAAAACACAAACAGCTAAAAGTGATGCTGTTAACATTTTGATGTGTTTTCCTCCTCAAGAAGCTTCTACATAGCCTGTCTGACTGCTTGGACAATGGCTGAATATTTGGTGTTTCCAGATATCATAAGCTATGCACCTCCGCCCCCCCCCCACCCAGGGGTAAATGGATAAGATCACCTTTTGCAGTAACTTCTGAGCCTTTTCTCCTGGTAATAGACGTAAACCAGCTGTGGCCTTGAGAACCAAGGGGGTAGCCTTCCAGAAGTCAAAAGGAACGTCTTTTTTAGCAACATCCAGTAATTCCTGAATTCCCGAAGTACTCTGTGAAGGTGGTAAAAGTAAAGTAGAATCTGTCAAAGATCAGCATACAGGGTCACAGATGCTCCCCCAACCCTTTTGCTTTTATTAACTCATAAATACATTTTCTTCTAATTTTCCAAATTGGCAGAAAATGACTTAAGTGGTGCTGGTGGCTGTGAGGGGCCACCCACCAAGTGAGTACAGAGTACAGAGAAACACCCTTGGCAGTGGAGCATGGTGGGATAAGGACACACACAATAGGGGTCTTGCTGTTCTATACTCTGGCAACCAAAACTCCACCCAGTCCCCATCACCAACCCCCAGTGGGTGACCTCAGATGAGCTGTGATTCCCCTGGACATCGTGGGGAATCTCTCATGGTGCTAAAATCCCATGAATAACTACACAGAGGAATCATTTACACCTGCCAGAATGCTTGAGGTCCAAAAGTTGGCTACGGCCCTGTGTCAGTGCATAGGTGGCAAAACAACTTTGGTAAAGTATTGCTGGGCATTATCAATAGGTACAATGCTGTGGGGTGGTATGGGGGAGGGCAATTTGGCAATGTCTGTCCAAGAAAACATACATTCCTTTTACTCAGAAATCCCATTGTAAGAATTCATCTGAGATAAATGCCCTTGCATGTGTGGGTAATGAAGTTCATATAAGGTGACAAACTGCAGCCTTATACAGTTAAGAGTAAAGTGTTAGACATTATCCAAATGTCTTTCAGGAGGGGATTGGTTCTGTAATTTAATGTGCCCGCACATACTGCAATATCATTGCCAGAAAAATCAAGGAAGCTCTTCATATCCTGATAGTAAATGTTCTCCATGTTATACTGCTGAAGGACAAAAACAAAGTATGTAACAATGTGAATGCCATTCTATTGTAAAAATAGGGGAGGGGGAAGAATATAGATGTATTTGCTCATAGGTCTATCACCTAGCCCTTGAAGGACACATAAGAAACCAAGGACACCAGCTCTCCTGGAGGGGACTAGAGAGGGAGGAGAGTTCTCATTGTCTGCCCTGTGAAGCTGTGAAATATGTCCCACTTGAATGTGTACTGCCTACTAAAACAAATAAGAGTTTAAAAGTCCTATGAGTTTATTCTAAAGACACCTAATTTAATCATGTGTAAACCTTATGGTTACTCTAGCATCACTCATTTCAGTTTTGTTTTCAATTTTAACCAAGCCACAGGAAAGCAGGGTATGACTTCACTGAGATCAAGAGACACTTGTGGGCAAAAATGATACATCAGCTTTTAAGACATATTTGAGCCAAAAGGCATGTATAGGTATATCACTAACTAGTCCGTTTCATCAGTGCTTTAGTGGAAATACAGGTGTCCAGTATTAGTGCAGCTATAAGCTTTAAGGACTCAAAAAATATAAAAGCTACAAACTTACAAAAATCATTGTTTGACAGTTTAAATAAATCTTTCACACTTACTTGGTTTTGTGGATTTTACATAATACATTTTTAACTTCAATTTTTTTTTTTTAACTTTTATTTATTTTTGAGACACACAGAGACAGAGCATGAACAGGGGAGGGGCAGAGAGAGAGGGAGACACAGAATCTGAAACAGGCTCCAGGCTCTGAGCTGTCAGCACAGAGCCCGACGCGGGGCTCGAACTCACGGACCGTGAGATCGTGACCTGGCTGAAGTCGGACGCTTAACCGACTGTGCCACCCAGGCGCCCCTAACTTCAATTTTTTGTGTTAGTCAACTTTTGTCATCCTCAATCAGAGGAACTGAAACAAAAACAAACTCTCAAATAATGCTTTTTTTTAAAGCAATTTTTTTAAATGTTTATTTTTGAAAGAGAGAGAAACAGAGCACAAGCAGGGGAGGGTCAGAGAGAGAGGGAGACACAGAATCCAAAGCAGGCTCCCGGCTCTCAGCTGTCAGCAGAGCGGGGCTTGAACCCAAGAACTGTGAGATCATGACCTGAGCCAAAGTTGGACACTCAACCAACTGAGCCACCCAGGCGCCCCTCAAATAATGCTTTTTGTCAAGTTTGTAGGCTTTGTGTTTTTGAACCACACTAAGACTTCTGGGTGGCATGTGTGTTGGCTGGGGGAAGGCCCTAGGGTGGGGGCAGCAGCCCTCCTTGAGCCTCACGTGCAGTACCAGTTTCCTCCAACTGATCATTCTAAACAGCAGGAGATGTCCCAGGTTAGTACTGTCAGAGATGCTTTTCTCTGTGAAGAAGGCCTACTGCACTCAACAAATAGGGAGCTGGCTTTAACAGATTATACAGTTGGAAGACAAATCTGAAGAACAACAGATGTGAGAGAAAATAATTACCTTTTCAACATCATCAGCATAAGCAGAAAGACCTGGCTTCAGTGCTTTGAAGGTCTCATGGGTCAAAGTGGGAGTTTCTAAGGGGGAAACATGTTTAAAAAGGTACACGGCAAATATATACACGAATATATAAATATATACAACAATGGCTTGCTGTCCTTTTCAAAGCAGATGCCTGAAATCAGACCAATCCCAGGGTGACTGGGATGCTGCCTCTTTAGTTCAGATAAACAAGATGAATGTTAACACCTGAGGCTTTGGTCAGAATTTTTTTTTTTTTTTTTTTTTAGTCAACCTTACTGAGGTATAATTTATATACAAAACTGTATCCATCTAAAGTGCTAAATTTTAACATGGTTTTCGTGAAATTAACAGAGGAGCAGGACAGATGATTCCAAACTGCAAACATGAAAATCATTTCTCTGTTCTAGGATGGATGTAGTACAGGTTCTGAAAGAACATTTATTTTTTCCCTTCTTTTAAACCATAAGGGGCCTGGACTCATGAGCATATAGCAAGGGAGTGTTCAGGGGTACACTGGTGGCCAAGGGATGCTGGTCCAAATTTGGACATGAAGACCCAGGAGGAAAAATCAGGGACAGAACTTTTTGAAAGGATGTCTCTCCAGAGATAAAATACTGGAATATGGCTACTAAAGGATTACATTCTGAATATGAATTGTCCTAAAAGCTTCAAAACCGTTATGGGAAGTATGTAGGTCTGGCATATAAAACTTTAACTACTGAAATGAGTTAATTAATAGAGCAGATGAAGAGTAGAGAAAACATGCCACAACAGTTTTGGAGAGAACTACTAATGGTGTCTGTTGCCACCAGCTCAAAAACAGTGTCTACTCAAAAGGTTTCGAGGGTCAGCAAAGAACCAGACACGACCAGCAGACCTACTGAGCAGCCAGGGGGAAAACACTCACTGGCTAGAAGCTGGAGGGTGGCCCTCAGAGCTGGAGGGTACAAGGGGCGCTAGAGAAGGAGATCAAAGTGGGGAGGGAAAGAGTTCAGAGCTGGGCAGTGACTGTGTCTCTCCACAGGAGCAGTGAGGGGGCGAACATACACAAACTCCCTCCTCCTTCTTGCCGGAAGCCTGTGGTCCCCACCCTAGCAAGCAAAGCTGATGGGGTTCAGACTCCAGCTCCCTCCGCACTGCTGAGGCCACTCTCGTCTGTCACCCCCCCTCTCCTCCTGGACCCACTGGGCAGCACCATGTCAGCCTGGGTCCTAGGTCCGTGCCAGTTCATGACTTACCCAGACTGCTGCCTCATACCAGTCTGAGTTTGGGGCAACTTCCTGCCTTAACCTCTCCCAACGCAGCTTCTGGCTTAAGTCATGGTCCTAGTCATCTGACATGCTGGTAAACACTGGGACAGAACAGGCCACCCAATACCTTTGGGGATCTCAGTTGCCCTGAGGTGGTCACCAGATGCTAGTGTGAGTATGGACAGTCTGGTGCTCCAGGGAAATTCAGATTCCTGGGCCCCAAACCACACCGGAGCCAGCTTCTCTGGGAACTGCATTTTTGACAAGTTCCCAGATGAGTCCGAGGCAGGGCATCCAGCCCACATGCTGATAAACCATTGTCTCTAAGTGGAAGAGATCCCGAGAGCTCTGACGTGAGCAAGGAGAACCATGCAGTGAATGGCCAGGGCCCTCTGCCCAGCATACCTCCAGGCTGCCGGGCGAATTGGAAGATGTGCACACGGGTGCCAGTGCTTCCTGCGTCAAACATGATGCCATAGAAAACCTCATGACCATGTGAAGCTGTCCCCAGAGGACTATGAGCCTGCTGGCCCCTCCGGGCCCCAGACGCTACCTCAGTGATGCTGAAGAAGGCCTGGGTGGCGGAGGCCCAGTGCCACTTGATATAGGCGACATAGATGAACAGGCAAATGAACAGCCCCAGGGGGTAAGCCACTTTTGTCATCTTCAGGTTCCCATTATTTGGTATTTTTCTCATGCCTCTATCTGCTGACTGTGCTGAAGCTGTTGGTGAAAAGGGAGGGAAAGCAGGAAAAACATGTTAGCAAGCTTCCAGGGCGAGTCAGACAAACATTTGTGCTTGGAGACAAAACATTCAGCCAGAAACTGGTCTGCATTTTTCTGCCTGGAATGAGAAGCTTCATTTGGTCTTCAAAGAGCTTCTAGAAGGTATGAGCCCACTTTATAGAAGAGAAGAGGGGGTGCCTGGGTGGCTCAGTCGGTTGGGCGGCCGACTTTGGCTCAGGTCATGATCTCGTAGCTCGTGAGTTCGAGCCCTGCATCGGGCTCTGCGCTGACAGCCTGGAGCCTGCTTCAGATTTTATGTCTCCTCCCTCTGCCCCTCCCCCATCCACGCTCTGTCTCTCTCTCAAAAATAAATAAACATTAAAAAAATTTTAAGAAGAGAAGAGGAACTGAGGCTAGTTATATGTATATATACATATACACACATACATAAAGTCTTTCTATATATATATATGTGTGTATATATATGTGTGTGTATATATATATGTACATATATATATAAGACTATAGTCTTTATAAGACTAGATAATCTGTTCGAGGCGGGAGGTCTTGCTGAGGCTGACTTGGGGCACAGATCCACAGCTGCCAGCTCTAAGGCAAGTGCTGTTCCAGACAAGTGGCTTTTGGATTTATGAGCACTTTAAAAAGCCAGATGTAAATGGTATCCCCAAACCTCTCAGGGTACAGGAACATGTGTCCAATCCATTCTTTCAGTTCTCGCTTCCTCTTCTATATAGGTGTTCACTTCTCAGAAGGCTTAAAGTCCCATCCTTTGGGGACTACAGAGAGCCCCAGCCACGTCTGAGAAATGCAGCTCATCTTCCTGGAAGTTTCACAGGAGATGTCTTGTTTTACTCAGGCAGAATACTCCGCCAAGGAGGAAATAATGCCTATGTGCTTTCCCAGCCTGTGAAATCCTACCCGAGCAGCAAAAGAAACTAACTCCGCGCCACTGTCTTTGGTTCAATACCCCTCAGCCCCTCAAATAAAGCATTCATTCAAGCTTTCTTAGCAGCTTCTGGTATAAGACACCATGTGGGAACCTGAGGCTTCAAAGAATAAGAAGCAGGGTGCTTGATTCTCAGGGCTCCCTACCCTTGGGGAATGTCCACCTGTCTGTCCATCCCTCACTCTGTAAGTTGTAAATGGAGTGGACTCTCCTAGGAGTAAGGAGACAGGGAAGTACAAGGCTGAAAGCAGGACATGGGTTTATACTCTGCCCACAGCAGCATGTGACTGTGGGCAAGTTAACCTTCATGAGGGCTGGTCTCCTCATCTGTAAGGGGGAAAGCTGCTTTGTGATGCTATTTGGGGATACAATGAGATGTGTGATGTGCTCAGAAGAGGACACAGAGAATGTGCCAGCCCATATTCAATGCTGGCTTTATAGCAGGGTAGTGGGAGGTAACACCCCCCTTGGAACCAGGGACAGTGACAGGCAGGAGTGCTGGAAGATAGTGTGACTACACTCTCTGGGAAGAAGAAAAGCAGGGGCCAGAGTTAAAAGTGCAGAGGGCAAGCCTGTGGTGGTCTTCACACCAACCTTGAGGTTGTCTGGGCAGAGGAGAAATGGAATGAAAGTGGCCCTTGGGGTGGTGGGGAAGGGAGTCCAGGACTTCTGTGGCCACTCCTTTCCAGGATCTAGCCCTGCAGCTACACCTGGATGCTCTCAGATCCAAGAGCACTGCCCAAACCTTTGGATGTCTCTGTGCTCCTGCTCAGGGGGACACCAGTGGCCCACCACCCAAGCTTAGGCAGGGAGCAGGGCAAATCACCCTTCCCTGAGCATCTGCTGTGCACAGGGCTGAGGGAAAGTCTAGTTGGCAGGACCAAGGAGCAAGCCTCCTCCCCACCCCTATTCCTGCCTAACTTTGAGCCTCTCTTGGGTCTCACTTGGGAGCTTCTTACTGCTCTTAGGATCGTGGTGCACACCCTGGATCCTCACCAGCCTTTGTAGCTTTCTCTCATCCTCTCTTGCCTTTGCTCATAGTGCTCTGAGAACCTAGTGCCTCCTTCTGTCCCTAGAACTCAGCTTCTCTCTGCCTCAGTCCCTTTGCACACACTGTTACCAGTTCCCAGAATGCTCGTGCAACCCAGTCAACCTTGTTCTCATCCCCAAGCCTCAGCTGAAATGTTATTGTCCCCACCATCCCTGACCACCCTCAACTTGAAAGATCCTCACCCCCATTATGCTCTCTCTGTACTCCCTGCCCCCTCTGGCCTGGTACCCCCATAATCTGTAACAATGCCAGGATCTGTGGGATTAATTCCTGAAGGTCCATGTCGCCCTCTAGGCCATGAGCTTCAAGGTCAGGAACTTATCCTGGTTGTGCCACTGCAGCTCAGTTGAGAACACAGGTCCCTATCTAGAAGGATGGAGGATGCACCTCTATCCCTGTCTACCTCCCATACTGTCACCAGACACACAAGAGTCCCTATTTTGGGGTGCCCAGGTGGCTCAGTCAGTTAAGCATCTGACTTTGGCTCAGGTCATGATCTCACAGTTTGTGAGTTCAAGCCCCACATCGGGCTCTCTGCAGTCAGTACAAATCCTGCTTCAGATCTTCTGTGTCCCTCTCTCATGTACGTGTGTTCTCTCTCTCTCTGAAAAATAAACATTAAAAAAAAATAAAAAGAGTCCCTGTTTCAAATCCTTTAATGAGGAGTGGAACATCAGCAAGACAGTAGAACAGGGAGCTCTAGGCCCTTGCTCCCCCACAGAAATATTAGAAAAAAATTGGGACTGGCTGTAATATTTTATAGGCATTCTGAAAAACAGTCAAAGATCCATAGATTTCTACAAGCAAATGCCGAATCAAGAAATCACATTCAGAATGTTCGTTAAGTTCAGTGGTGTCTACTCATCTTTGCCCCCACCCCTCTCTGCACAGTGCAGTCTAAAGGAAGCAGCAGCTCAGTGTCTACCTATCTCCTTCCTTCAAACTGGAGGGATCAGAGCAACATTCTAACCTATCTTCAGGCTGCCCAAGAGACAGGTCTCTGTTTTGCCTGACTTGGAGCTCAGAGCTCCAATGGGGGAAAACCGTGGAAGGCAGCTATGGGTACTTCTTATGAAAGTCACGGGGTGACTGCAGAACCACACATGCTTGGGGCAAGAGGCCAGGTTTGTGTGTGTGTGTGTGTGTGTGTGTGTGTGTGTGTAAGAAACAAGAAAACATTGAACACCTAAGAAGGAATGTGGATGGAACCGTTTAAGAAACTAAGACATTTAAAAGCAACCATAACATACGGGAGAATTGAAACTAATACACACACAGGCCCAGGTAACAATCCTGAGAGGACCTTAAGCCTTTGCCCTGGACTGACTCGAAGGCTCAGACACATTCTGTTAATTAGTGAAGATTTTTCATGGCACAGAACCAGTCTGCAAAGCCTCGGAGAGGTGGCTATTTTCTTAAATGCCCCACTTTTCAACAATAGAAATCACAAGGCATACCAAGATACAGGAAAATTTGGCCCATTCAAAGGAAGAAAAGGTGGCAGAAACTGTCTCTGAAGAAACATAGGCATTGGATATACCAGATAAAGACTTAAAACAACCGTCTTACATATGGTGAAACACAAGAACTGAAAGAAATATGGAATATGACATATGACAACAAAATGGGAATATCAATGAAGAAATAGAAATTATAAAAAGCAACCAAATTGTGGAGCTAAATATATTGAAAAATTCACAAGAGGGGTTTAACAGCAAATCTGAGCAGGCAGAAGAACCAGTGAACTTGAACATGGACATTAAACTTATTGAATCAGAGGAGCAAAAGAAAAAAAGACATAAGAAAAGTGAACAGAGCCCAAGGGATTTATGGGACACCACAAGGGACCAACAGGCACATTTCAGGAGCCCCGGAAGAAAACACAAATAATGGCTGAACTCCAAGGAGGATAAACCCAGAGACTCATGCTGAGATACACTGTAATCACACCACTGAAAGCCAGAAAATAAAAGAAGGAATCTTGAAAGCAGCAAGAGAAAAGCAATTCATCATGTACAAAGAATCCTTAAATAATAAGATTATCAGCCCATTTCTCAACAGAAATTTTGGAGATCAGAAAGCAGCGGGATGATATATTCAAACTGCTAAAAGAAAAATCTGTCAGCTGAGAATTTCATATTCAGTAAAACTGTCCTTCAAAAATGAAGGTGAAATTAAGGCATTCCCAGATAAATGAAAGCTGAGGGAGTTCTTTGCCAGCAGACCTGCCCTACAACAAATGCTAAAGGTTGACATGAAAGGACGCCAAACAGTAACAGAAATCCATAAGAAAATATAAAGATCTCCAAAGAAGTTAAATACGTGGACAAACACAACAACCAGTATTAGTGTATATTTGGTTTGTAACTCCACTTTTTATTTTCTTCAGCATTAAAAAAAACAAATGCTGAGGGGTATGTGGGTGGCTCAGTTGGTTAAGCGTCTGACTTCAGCTCAGGTCATGATCTCACAGGTTTTGAGTTCAGGCCTCTCATTGGGCTTCGTGCTGACAGTGTGGAGCCTGCTTGGGATTCTCTCTCTCTGCCCCTCCCCAACTTGCACTCTCTCTATCTCAAAATAAATAAAATTAAAACAAAGCAAAACAAATGCTGTGACATCAAAAATAAATTAGGAAGATATATGATATAAAGGAGAAGAGTTAACATATGTAATTCAAGCTAAAGTGGGATAAATTTTAGAACAGACTTATAATTTCAGGATGTTATATGTAATCTCTGTGGTAATCACCAAGAAAATATCTAGAAAATATATATAAAAGGAAATGAGAAGGGAATAAATACTGTCCTTAGAAAAGAATCAATTACACCCAAAGGAAAGCAATAATGAAGGAAATGAGGGACAAAAAAAGCTATAAGACCTACACAAAATAAAATGGCAAAAGTAGTCCTTCCCTGTCAGTACTTTAATTTTTAAATTTTTTTAAATGTTTATT